AACTACAACAACAATTCACAAAGAATTTCCATAACCATCAATACCATTTCCATCATATTCAATCACTCATATGCATTTTATGTCACAACGATAATTGCCCACGACAAGCCATATATGTTATTACCACAGTCGTTCCAATTGCATCAATTACTATTTCCTTCCATCATTTGTTTCACAATTCTTACCACATAGCAGATTCACAATCACATACTTGGTTCATTGCCAATTACTTATACCACCTTATCGAAAGACATAACCACAAACACTCAACCGTACCAATTACAAGAATTTCACAGACAATCCACGTAGAAATCACATACCAAGCACTCAAACACCAAACAAGGTGATTTTACAAAGGTCAAAGTTAGCCATACATACCTGGAGCCGAATTTCCTTTTAACTTCTACTTTTAATTCACCAAACGGTCTAGCAACGTCGATCTAGTGCACAAGTTAACACATATTTCTTAGAATTAAGGCTCATAATTACTACCCGAACATTTTTAGGTTATCAGCCCTTCTTTTGCAAACCTCTACTTTTACCCAATTTCCCTTACTAGGTTTTAGGTTTTAAAAGACATGCATGTAGGTTTCAACCATTATTTTCAAGAATCAATGCATGAGATTCCCCCCTTAGTTTAAACCTAAAAATTAATGAAAAAGGGTTAGGGATTTTACCTGCAAGAATGGGGATGAGAATAATCACTTTGAAATTTTTCGGCCCGGATAGTTTTGAAAAATCAAATTTGATGAAGATGACTTTCTCTCTCAGAACCCTCTCTTCCTCTCTATTATTTTGCTCAGAAGGTATGTAAAAAATGAGGGGTTGGGGTGTTTTATTAAAAAGGGGTCGGGTGTAAAATTTAGAAAATTAGGAGCCAGAGTCAGGTTTGCGGTCGCACTTTGCGATCACAGATCCGAAATGCGGTCCGCAGAATGGACCGCAAAAGTACTCCAAAAATCTAATTCTTCTATTTGGGTCTGCGGCGGAAATGCGGTCCGCATATCAGTTATGCGGTCGCATAATGGACCACATTTTGACCTTAATTTTAACCAAACCACTGACTCAATCTGCGGCAGAAATGCAGTCCGCATACATGATTTGCGACCGCATTGCGGACCGCAAAATAACACTTTTCTTGAAAACTTTGGTTCTTTGATTTTTGAATGCTTAGATCAGTACAAAGGGTCCGGACCGCGGCGAGCATTCCCAACACATATTCGGAACCTGACACTACAAGCTACTAGGTTTTGAGCACAAATTTTTACGGGGCCTTACACTGGGGAAGTGGTGGAGGACCTTCCAATGCCCTTGCCTTTGCTAGAACCATCACGAGCCATAATATCCTGCAACACAAGTAATCATGAATGTGAGAACTTGTCAAGAAGTATGCCTAAGGTTGTCGTGCAAGTCATGAGATGGCCCCACAATTAAAACCGAAGGCACAATGTATAATACTTCACAATTGTTTTGATCTAACATGTACAAGTGTTGCACTCCAAAGCTATGGGTACTCAAGACTTCCCCATCAGAGGCGGATCCAGGATATCAAGAGGATGGGTGCACTATTGTGAAGACGCGAATTTGAAATTTATATTTGACGAGTTTAACTTTAGTATCTACCATGTACCCACTACACTTTTGAAATTATAGGTTCAAAATTAAATTTTTTAAAATTTTTTAGTGATTTTTACGTATATATCTATACTCCATGCCGAAAACAAGACCGTCCGGAGTGGGATTCGAACCACCAATTTCACTCGTAGAGGTGCATCCAATGATTATTGCACCATAGGAGTCTTTGAGTATGGGTTCACGCACGTATAATTAAGTAATTGTCAAAAAATATAACATTATTATACATGGTTTAGGGAAATGAGTATGGGTTCACGTGAACCCATACCCTAAGACTTAGATACGCCTCTGTTCCCCATGCCACATAATAGTGATTGATCATGGCTACGTGAATGCACATTAAGGTAAGCAAAAGGCATATGGTACTTACCTTTCCACAGCTACTAGACGACACTAAATTAGTTAAATTTACAAGATTCTACAACATACATTATATAAGATAGATAATGTAGGAACATATTTTGCATCAAAGACAAACCCCCTAGCATGTAAAAGCATCCCTACACAACCCACACTTAGCCCAAATTCATACACAAATATAACCGGTTACTCAGACTTCACCAGTACACCAAAATCTTCATTCAAGCATTTTAACAAACATCTTGTGGGCATAAAGTGTGTGCTTCTAATTCAACAATGGTGGAATATGGTGGCCCTCCCAAATTTCAACGAAGTAGAGGAAATTCTAGTTTACTACTCCGTATACACAAAAATCACACAATTTCAACCAACTCAAGCCACCCACCATAAAAATTTCATAAGAACTACATAGGGAAAAATTTGGGGATTAGGGCTCTTGGGGATGGGATGTACATTGTTACCTAACAATTCAACATACAAACAAGAAGAAGAAGAAAAGAAAGAAGAACTTACCTGTAGATTGTAGAAGGAGAGCAAGAGAAAAACTTTGAGAAAATTTTGGGAGGAAGAAGAAGAAAAATCGTGGCAGAATTTAGGAGGAGAGAAGCAGTCGTTTGGCGTGTTCTATTTTTGGGAATGGGGAATTTGGGTTGTTTTGGATTATTGTTAAGTTGGGTTTTGGATGGATGTGGGTATTAGAATGGGTTAGAGTGGTAGTGTAAATGGGTATTTGGGTTGGGTTAAGTGGGTATGGGTCAATGAATAAATAAAAGAAAAACGAAAATAAATTTTTTTTACCTGGACCCCCAGCCTAGAACTCAACGCTATGCCTGGCGCTGGGGGAATGTGAGACACTGTTTTCAGCGCCCCAGGTAGCGCTGGGCGCTCTTTTTCGGAAATTTTCATTTTTTATGCATCCCGATCCCTCGAGCCTTTTATATACACAATTTACATGTCCTACACCATTCTACTTATAATTTCTACGCCTACAAAGAAAATACAAATTAAGAAGTTAAACTAGGAAAGCAATAAAAATTGGGTTGCCTCCAAACAAGCGCCTGATTTAACGTCGCGGCACGACGCAGAGTCTCGCTTACTCATCAAGGAGTACAACCTTGGTCTTCTCACGATTAATTATTCCTCCCCAATAGTGCTTGACTCCATGTCCATTCTTCAAAAATTTCCTTTCACCATTTAAAGCTCGCAACTCAATTGCACCATAAGGAGTGACTCTCACCACCTCAAACAGGCCTGACCATCTCGATTTTAGCTTTCCAGGAAATAGCCTTAGCCTAGAATTGAATAATAATACCTGTTGGCCTGGCTTGAAGTGACGCGGCTTGATATGCTTATCATGCCATCTTTTTGTCTTTTCTTTTAAAGCTTTGCATTTTCATACGAGTGCAGCTTGTACTCATCTAACTCATTCAACTGCAAAAGTCTTTTCTCGCCCGTGGCTTCAAGGTCCATGTTCAGCTTCTTAATGGCCCAGTATGCCTTGTGTTCAAGTTCAACGGGCAAGTGACATGCCTTCCCATAAACAAGCTTATAAGGGAACGCCCCAATTGGCATTTTATATGCAGTTCTATACGCCCATAAGGCATCATCTAACTTTGCAGCTAATCCTTCGTATTCACACTCACCGTCTTCTTTAATATTTGCTTGGTTTCTCTATTTAACACTTCAGCTTGCCCACTTGTTTGAGGATGATATGCTGTAGTAACTCTGTGGCGAACTCCATATTTAGCTAGAAGGTTATTCAACAACTGATTGTAAAAATGCGTCCCCTCATCACTAATTAAGGCACGTGGAGTCCCAAACCTCGAAAATATATTCTTTTTCAAAAACGTAGCTACCACCATGGCATCATTTGTTGGCAAGGCAATTGCCTACACCCATTTTGTTTCCTCTGGACGTAGGGAATGGTCCCATAAAATCTATCCCCCACACATAAAAAATCTCTACTTCTAGAATGTTATTCAAAGGCATCTCATGCATCCTTGTGATTGTTACTGTTCTCTGACATTGGTCAGACTTCTTAATTAACGCATGGGCATCCTTGAATAAAGTTGGCCAAAAGAACCGGATTGCAATACCTTTGCAGCTGTTCTATCTCCTCCATGATGGCCCCCATAAGGTGATGTATGACAATCATACAACACTAATTCTACCTCATTTTCTGGAATGCACCTCCTTATCAGCTGATCGGCACATTGCTTGTACAAATATGGTTCATCCTAATAGTAGAAGTTCACATCATGTATAAACCTCTTTCTAGCTTCAGATTCAATTTCAGGAGGAAGTACCCCACTCACAAGATAATTCACATAGTCTGCGTACCATGGGAGGAGGGTCTTGGGTGATAGAAAAAAGTTGCTCATCAAGAAAGACTTCTTTAATTTGGCCACCCTCCTCCATGTGGTCGTGATTTTCCAGCCTTGATAGATGGTCAGCTACTTGGTTCTTTGTCCCCTTTCGATCTCGTATTTCTACATCAAATTCCTATAGTAGCAAAACCCAGCGCATCAATCTAGCCTTAGATTCCCTTTTTGTAAATAGATACCTGATTGCTGCATGATCGGCATGGACTATGACTTTCGTTCCCACCAAGTATGCCCGAAATTTTTCAAAGGCCCACACAACGGCTAACAACTCCTTTTCAGTGGTGGTGTAATTCATCTGTGCATCATCAAGAGTCTTAATCGCATAGTAGATGGAATAAAACACCTTGTCTTTCCTTTGGCCTAGCGTTGCCCCAATAGCCTGGTCACTCGCATCACACATAAGTTCAAATGGTAAGGACCAATCAGGTGCCACAATAATGGGAGCAGGCACCAACTTCTTTTTGAGTTCTTCGAATGCCTTGAGGCAGGCGTCATCAAAGTTGAAAGTTACATCCATTTTCAAGCAACCTACCCAAAGGAGTAGAAATTTTAGAAAAATCTTTAATAAAGCGCCGATAGAATCCCGCGTGTCGCAAGAAAATCCGGACACCCTTCACTGAAATAGGTGGAGGTAATTTTTCAACCACCTCCACCTTCGCCTTATCAACTTCAACGCCTCTCCTTGACACTGTGACCCAACACTATGCCTTCCTGCACCATAAAATGGCACTTTTCCCAATTCAGTACCAGATTTGTTTCTTCACAACGGGCCAGCACCTTGCTTAAATTCCTCAAGCAATCATCATAAGAAGACCCAAAGACTGAAAAATCATCCATAAACACTTCCACAAAATTTTCCACCATATGGGTGAAAATAGCCATCATGCATCTCTGGAAAGTGGCTGGTGCATTACAAAGACCAAACGGCATTCGCTTGAAGGCAAAAGTGCCATAAGGACAAGTAAAAGTGGTCTTCTCCTGATCCTTTGGACATATGACAATCTGATTGTATCTCAAATAACCATCAAGGAAGCAATAGTATTCATGCCCGGCTAATCTGTGCAACATTTGGTCAATGAATAGAAGTGGGAAGTGGTCTTTGCGGGTTGCTTTGTTGAGCCATCTATAATCAATACAGACTCTCCACCCCGTCATAGTACGAGTAGGAATTAGCTCATTTTTCTCATTCTCAATCACAGTCATTCCCCCCTTTTTGGGCACACATTGAACCGGGCTTACCCAGTTGCTGCCAGAAATAGGAAAAATGATACCTGTATCGAGCAACTTGATTACTTCTTTTTTCACAGCCTCTTTAGTAATGGGATTTCACCTCCTGTGCTGCTCCACACTAGGGCGGTGTCCATCCTCCAAGAAGATTTTATGCATTCAAACCGATGGACTAATTCCCTTGATATCAGCAATAGTCCACCCAATAGCCTTTTTATGCTCGTGGAGTACTCTGAGCAATTTTTCTTCATGAGTGTTAGTCAAGCTAGGCGAGATAATCACAGGCAATGTCTCAGAGTTCCCCAAATAAGCATAGCGCAGATGCGCTGGAAGGGGCATAAGTTCTAGCTTCGGAGCTTCTTCAATGGATGGCTTAGGAGGGGTCAGAGTGACAGGCCTGTCCAACTCCTCAAATTTTCCAAACCCATGGACATAACTGCAGGACATATCCAGTACTTGCTCAATTTCTCCCATCATTTCATCTTCACTATCTTCTTCATCCCCAATCAACACTCGTTCAATGGGATCTACAGGGCTCATATAGGGCACTAATGATGTGGCATCACTTTCCACTATAGAGATCATGGATAGCTCTTCATAGTGGGCTGGCAACCTGAGTGCTTTATAAACATTGAATACCTGAACTCGATCACCTACTCTCATCGTCATCTTTCCTTCGCAAACATCAATAATAGCTCGGCTCGTGGCTAAGAATAGACGCCCCAAAATAAATGGGACTTCTTGATCACGCTCGTAGTCCAGGATAATGAAATCAGTAGGGAATATGAAAGACCCCACTTGAACTAGCACATCTTCAATCACTCCTTCAGGATGAGCAAGGGAGCGATCAGCCAACTGTAAGATTACCGTTGTTGGGCGCGGCTCACGCAACCCCAATTGTCTGAACACAGATAGCGGCATCAAATTGTTGCTCACTCGAAGATCACATAAGGCTCACCCAACTGCATGTTTACTAATCGATATTTGGATAGTGAGACTACCTGGATCCTTCAATTTCTGAGGTAACTTTCTTTGAATTCTTGAGCTACGCTCCTCAGTGAGTGCCACGGTTTCGAACTCGGTCAGCCTCCTTTTATTTGCCACTATGTCCTTGATGTACTTTGCATATTTGGGTACTTCTTGTAATATGTCAACCAATGGAATATTAATCTGCACCTCCTTCAAAATATCAAGAATCTTTTTATACGCGGCGTTATCCTTGACTTTCTGCAATATTTGAGGGAACGGAGGTGGTGGCAATGCAACCAATGGTGGAGGTTGCTCCGCCACCGCCTCTTCAACTGGCTTCTCTGACGCCTTAGATTTTTCTGATGTTGATTCTATAGTAGCTGGCCTCTCATTAAAAGTCACCTATTTTCTCTTTTTTGACTGCACTTCTAATTGTCTCCCATTCCTCAATGACACGGCATTAAGGGATGCCTTAGGATTAGTTTCAGTATCACTTGGAAGAGCTCCAACTGGTCTAGTGTTTTGGTCACTGGCAAGTTGTCCTATTTGCCTTTCAAGATTTCTAAAATCGGTCCTGAGCTGTTGATTGTCAAGCAACAATTTCTTCAACAAATCATTCGTACTCTCTTCTACCTGTTGAGGTGGCTTCTAAGGTTGATTGAAATTTTCTTGGGGTCTATAATGATTCTGATTCGGCTGATTTCCATCCGAAGAGAAGTTGGGATGATTCTTCCAATTTGGGTTGTAAGTGTTCCCATATTGTGCATGTTGATTCGTTTGACACCTGCTCTGTTGCCCCACATAGTATATAGATTCAGGATTCGTGGGGCACATGTCACTCATATGATTTTCACTACATAGTTTGCAGCAGAGAGACATCTGTTGTACATGCTGCATCTATTGTGTTTGTTGCATTGTCATTCTATTCATCTGATTTGCCAATTTTGCTATATCAGCTCTCATGGCTGAGAAGTCATCAAGCTCAATCAACCCAGCTGCTTTCTGTTTAATTGCCTTTCATGAATCCCTATCTCCTTGCCAATTATGATCATTAGCAGTGAAGTTATTTAGCAAGAGTTGGATTTCACTATACAGTTTCGCCATGCAACTACCCTCACAAGCTGAATCAAGATTCATCTTTGAGGCCTCATCTAGCCCATCAACAAAAGTGCGTCCCAATACCTCATCAATCTGACAATGGTGCGAGCAGTCTCTGAGTAGCTTCTTGTATCTTTCCCAAGCTTGACAAAGTATCTCGCCATCCCGTTGTTCGAACCCAAGAATCTGACTCCTCAATGACTTTTTCTTCTTAGTGGGGAAACACTTGATTAAGAATTTCCTTGGTAGATCATGCCAAGTGTGAATTGAGTTCGCGGGCTCTTTCTGCAATCATTCCTTAGCTTCCCTCAGCAGTGAAAAGGGAAAAAGTGTTAGCCTGACATAGTCCTTGGAAATGTTCAGATAATTTAGGTATCCATAATATCCTAGAAATTCTGAATGTGCCTCTGCGAATCTTCATGAGATAGACCCACATATTGCCCCGTGGACTGAATCAGCTGTACCATGTACTGTTTGAGTTCAAAATGCCCTGTGATCTCAGGCTTCACAATAGCCTGAGTCATATTAGCAAGATTGGGCCTTGCGGCTTTTATCACCGCACGCTCTGCATTACCTGCCATCTCTATTGGCTATGGTTGAACTACGATTTCCAACTCTCTTTCTATTCTAGTGCTAGCTTCGACTTCCCTCCTCACTCTGTGAAGTGTTCGTTCAATTTCAGGATCAAGAAGAAGGAGATTGCTTGCGCTTCTACTCCTCCGCATTCAAGAGAAGAGCCTGTGTTAACACAAACAAGGTAAACTGAAAATTAAAACTTGAACAAATAACTAATAAAAGCTTAAGTCAGTCAAGTAGATAATTTTTAAGTCCCCGGCAATAGCGCCAAAAACTTGTTGCTGCCAAATGCACACGCAAGTATACGTGGTCGTACAAGTAATAAAATGATAAGTCGAGTGTCGAACCCACAAAGACTTATATCAACTACCCACTAACTCACCAATATTGTATATTCAGTCAAGCTAAATTCGAGTTCAAGAGTGTGATTATACTAAACTACATTCTAAGTAATAACTAAATTATCAAGCAGTAAAATGATTGTTATATATTCAATATAGACAAAAATTCCAGGGTTGTGATCGATTCACCAATTCTATTGTGTTCTAGTTAACTCTCCCTCTCATACAATTCACTCATGGTTGCTAATTAATCGATAATTGCTCTCATAGCCTTCTCCCGAAGTACTACTCGCCTATTCAAAATAGATTAACGCCTATATTCCTATGAAATCAATCTATTAAGAAGCATTAAGATTACGATATTTAATTAAGCACGGTGACTAGGTATATTCCTATCCTAACCACAAATCCGTCCCCCTAAGGGTTAAGATCATGCTCTCTTAAATTCTTCTCTAATCTAAACACGGCTTTCCCAAGCATAGCATAGATAGTAAATAGAACCTAACTGTTGGCCAGATAATTAAGCAATTAATCACAGAATTGAAGAAATAACCATATATTAGTGAATTGTAATCAAGTTTAAGTCAACGTTAAACAACAATATTCATGGATAATTCACAACCCCAAAACAATGGGTTTTTAGCCACTCATGATATTAGCAAACAATTTCATAAGTTTGGATAATTGTAAATACTAAGAAAAGATGAAGAAATCTGAGATGTTCTTGCTCCCCGAATGTTTCTTGTGTCTATTCCCTCTCAAGTGGCGTCTCCCCTTCACAAATAAGTTTTGTCTTGCTTTTATACGTGTTGGGTAGGTATAGGGCCGAAATAACCGTAACCCGGGCGAATTTGGAGAACCTTCATGTCACTGGCGCCCTGGCTAGTGCCAGGCGCCCTCCACGGCGCTGTGAATTTGCTCATTCTGTTTTGGTGCCACAGGTGGCGCTAGGCGCTGCCTGGGGCGTTCCAATGCCCATTTTTCCTGGTTTCGTCCGTTTTGGCTCTAATTTTGCACATATCTCCCCAGATTGCTCCCGGATCATTCCTACACATAAAAATACATCAAATTAATATAAATCAATACATTTCACATCCTAAATCCACGAAGCAAAAGTAAGATATGAGACGATATACATACAAATATATATATATATATATATATATATATATATATATATATATATATATATATATATATATATATATATATATATATATATATATATGTATGTATATATACTTTAAGCAAAACATCAGCACTCATATTGAGTAATTCTACTTTCCATATACAAATTATTACCTCT